AGGGTCTTTCCCCTTCCAGATTGATTCTTTTGTGATGGTAAATTGGGCCATCTTTTATCTCTATTTGTACTTAGCCCTTAATCATTGAATGGACTTTGCCTCAGACAAAATGAAAACTGGAAAAGACTTTAGTTTAAAAAGGCCAAGGTCATCCACTGCATCCTGGGTCATTGCCAATCTTCTTGACTTTGGTCTTTCCACTGGACCTTGATGACTCTGGAGGAGAGAGTGAGGATGATGACTTTGTGAAGCTCTATCTCACTTAAATCCAATTCACATGCAAGTGAAGACATCACCCACATGATGTCATTGGTCCTCTTCTAGAATGAAGGACAAACAACAAGAAGGAATGAACATATTACGCAGAATAGCTTAGTCATTCACAGTTATTCTTTGAAAAGTGTTGCTGTTACTGTATATAATGTTCCCTTGCTTCTTCTCATTTCACTCTGCGTTATTTCACACGTGTCTTTCCATGTTTTCCTAAAACCAACCTGCTTGTCATACCTTATAGCACAGTAGTATTTGAACACAATCATATGCCACAGCTTATTTAGCCATTCCTCAGTTGATTGGTCTCCCTTCTCTTTCCAGTTCTTTGCTACTACAAAGAGAATTGCTATAAAGAAGTGCTATAAATATTTTAGACCATATGGTTTCTTTTCCTTTTTCCCCGATCACTTCATCCCTGATTAGGAAACAGACTTAATAGTGGTATTGCTGGGTCAAAGGGTACATGCAGTTTTATAATTTTTTGGGCATAATTCCAAATTGCTCTCCAGAATGATTGGATCAGTTTACAATTCCACCAATAGTGCATTAATATCCCAAGTTTTCCACATCTCCTCCCAACATTTGTCATTTTTCCCTTCTATCATTTTAGCCAATCTTAGGTATGAGATGATATCTCAAAGTTGTTTTAATTAGCATTTCTCTAACTAATAATGATTTAGAGAACTTTTTCAGGTGACTGTTGCTTTGATTTCTTCATTGGAAAACTGTTCATATCCTTTAACCATTTATCAATTGGGGAATGACTCATATTCTTAGTTCTCTCTATATTTCAGATATGAGACCTTCAAGAAACTGTCTATAAATTTTCCCTTCAATTTTCTACTTTTCTTCTGATCTTGGCTACATTGGTTTTATTTGTACAATCCCTTTTTAATTTAATGTAAATAGAATTATCCATTTTACATCCCACAGTGCTCTCTATCTCATTTATTTATAAATTGTTCTCCTCTCCATAAATCTGATAGGTAATATGTTCCATGCTCTACTGTGGTTTGTGAGTTGTCCTTCGTTCTCGAAGAGGACCATGACATCAGGAAGATGATGCCAGTATTTGCAAATAAACAATTGCATTTAAGTGAGGGAGGGCTATGCAAAGTCATCAGCTTTACTTTTTCCTCCGGAGCCATCTGAGTCCAGTGGTCAGATTTAGATCAGGACAACTGGAGATGGCCCAGTCATGCTCTTCTAATAAGTGAGTTGTTATCTCAAAAGCTTAAATTTTTACTTTTATCAAACACAAGGTTATTATAATCATTTACTACTGTGTAATGCATACCTACGATATTCTACTGATTTACCATTCTATTTCTTAGCCAGTACCAGACAGTTTCAATAATTATGTCCTTGGAATACAGTTGAAGATCTGCTTTCTACCTTTGCTGTCCATTTGGTTTACTCAACTCTCACCTGTAGCTCCAAGAGTCTGTAGCATGTGCAGCTACCACACCCTGGTAAACCATTTCAGCAGAAGGTATAAAATAGGTTGAAGGTAAGCCAGAGGTCTCAAATCCAGGTGAAGTAGAATTGAAACATGTGAAGACTTTGTCTGACGGAATGGGCGGATGAGAACAGTTTGTTCCAACAGCCATGTTGACTGTGGAGTGCTTAGAAATTTGGTTAGACATCAGAGATACCAAAGTCATCCACTGCATCCCAAGCTGTCACCAGTCATCTTGACTTTTGTCTTGCCACCGGACTTTGATGACTCTGGAAGAGAGAATGAGTCTGATGACTTCATACAACTCTGCCATATTTAATTTATATGTGAAGAAAAAGACATCACCCATATCATTTTGCCATTTTTACCTACCTCAAAGTCCTGGTTTTCAGTGATATTGTCAGACACTTTCAATGAGGATGAAAATGGCATCATGGTCAGCTACTGCACTGATGGTAAATTCTTCATCTTGAAAAGGCTACAAGTGGAGGGAGAATTGGTGCATGCTATTTTGATCACAGATGATTTTGCACTTAGTGCAGCTTCTGAGGCTGAGATATAACAAAGTGTGGATTGATTTTCTGTTGCTTGTGCTAGTTTGACCTAACAACACCAAGAAAATACAGTGCTCCATCAGCCACTACCGAACTATCCATATGTGGAGCCATAGTTACAGCAGTAGAAATATTGAATGCTGTGGATAAGTTCACTTACCTTGGCAGTATACTTTCTAGGAATGTACATATAGATAATGAAGTTAAACACATGTATTGCCAGAGCTAGCTCAGTATTTGATAGGCTCTTAAAGAAAATGTGGGAGAGAGGAGATAGTAGACTGCCTACTAAACTGAAGGTCTACAAAGCTGTGGTGCTGACCTTATTGTTGTCTGTCTGTGAAATCTGGGCAGTCTACAAGCACCATGCCAGGAAACTGAATCACTTCCATTTGAATTGTCTTAGGAAGATTCTGAAGATCACCAGGCAAGAGAAGGTATTGGACACTGAGGTCCTTTCTCAAGCTTAACTGCTAAGCGTTCAAACTCTACTGCACAGAGTACAGATCTGATGGGCTGGCCACATTGTTTGAATGCCAAACGTGTATTTGCCTAAAAGACTCTTTTATAGAAAACTCACAAAAGGCAAGAATTCACATGAAGGTTAGAAAGAAGCAATACAAAGACACTCACAAAGTCTCTCTGAAGAACTTTGGTGTCAGTTATGAGACATGGGAGACACTGGCACAGGACAGTCCAGTATTGCATGCCCACATCAGAGAAGGTACTGTGTTCTATGAGAGAAGTAGAATTGCAGTAAGTCAAAAGAAATATGAGATGCACAAATTTAAAGACCTCTCCCCTCCAAATGTTCATGTAGACTATTTGTCCCTGACCTGTGTAGAGTCTTTTGAGCTTGTATTGATCTTATCAACCATAGTTGGACACGCTGTATTTTGACTCCAACCTAGTGATGTCGTTTTGGTTCTCTTCAGGAACGAAGGACAACAACCAAGATATGATATTGCTCGATCTCTTTCCTTTATATATTTTCCATTAATTCCTTTGATATTCTTGACCTTTTGTTCTTCCAGATGAATTTTGTTATTATTTTTTCTAGCTCTATAAAATAATTTTTTGGTAGTTTGATTGGTATGGCATTGAATAAGTAAATTGATTTAGGTAGAATTGTCATTTTTATTATGTTGACTCAGCCCAGGCATAAACAGTTATTTAAATCTGACTTTATTCATGTGAAAAGTGTTTTTAATTGTGTTCATATAATTCCTGGATTTGATTGACAGATAAACTCCCAGGTGTCTTATATTGTCTGCAGTTATTTTAAATTAAATATCTCTTAGTATCTCTTCTTGCAGGGCTTTGTTGGTAATATATAGAAATGCTCCTCTTTTATGTGGATTTATTTTATATGCTGCTAAATTATTAATTTTTTCAACTATAGAGATAGTTTTATTTCCTTATTGCTCATTCTGATTCTTTCAATTTCTTTTTCTTCTCTTATTGCAATTGCTAGGATTTCTTCTATAAAATTGAAGAAGAGTGGTGAAAAGGGGCAGTCATTATCTTTTACATGAAATCTTTTCTGGTCCCTTAACTGTCCTCCCTTTGTATATAACCTTATTTTTATTGGTTTTATTTTGTATATATTTTAACATAGGCATGTGTTTTCCAGTAGAAGGCAAACTCCTTGAAAGTTTAGTATGTTCATTTTTATCGTTGTTTCCTCATTGTCTATCTCATAGGCAATTAATAAATGCTTAATTGGTTATTGATAACTTTACCTTCTACCCTGTACTTAAAATCTGAATTGAAATGAATGCCTTTTGGACACAGCAAACCTTGATTGTTTGAGAAAGAAGAGAAGGGAAAACAAGGAAAGAGAAGAGAAAAAGATAGAAACAGAGAAAGAAAGAGACTGAGACCTACAGTCACAGAAGGAGAGAACTTAGAAGTAAACAGGAAATGTTCTCTGATTACCTATTCTTTGTCCATACTATAATTTTCAACCAAGTTATACAACCACTGGCCTGACCAGATATGCATGCCTAATTGGGCTACAAGTTTGATGCTGAGTCAAAAATTTACCCTGAACAAGTAATAAAAGTTTAAGCAGTTTGTTTCTTTTTTTACATGAAGTCAGTTTATATTTTCAAAAAGGATCTTTAGCGTATTTCTTTCTACACTCATTCCCTAATTGATTAAAGGTGGAACTATATTGATTTTATTGTTCCCAGAATAACTATGACATAGTCAAAAATCAATTATTATAGTGAAGAGTGATATTTTAGCTTAAATTGATAGGAAATGTTTTCTTATTATTCATAGCTAATTACAGAATGTACCAAGCCCTTCTCTTGAAGTAAAATTTCATAACTTTTTAAATTGAGAGATACTATACACATACACTTTTCACTGAATTGATAAATAAAGGAAGAACACTGTTTTAATTCTGTAGTCTTGGATTAGCTTTAGGGTACTGGTGTGAACTTAGATTTTAGCAATCAGAGGAAATTGTTCTGGATAGGTCAGTTCTTAATAAACTTGCATTCTTAAGTTGTTGTCATGCAGGTCATAAAAACAGGAATGACAAATAACCCTTGAGGCTCTGTGCATCTAACAATGAGGACTTTATTTCAAAAAATGAAGCCATGGGTCATTTAAAGTGCTTCATGTTTGTTTTGAGTTTATTGTCTGATGTTTAGCAAAAAGCAAACCTGACTCATTTTGCTGTGTTTGTTCTCTTTGTTCTCTAGGCTGCTTTCCAGGAGAATGTTGGAAGACAGGTATGGTAACTTTTTTGAATCTTCTTTCACTGAACTTCCTGTATCCCTATTTCTGAACACTAAAAGATATATAGCTGGACACTATTTTCCTTCATTAGAATTATTTAAATGTGTCTCAAGTAAAGTATGTATTTAATAATACAATTTCTGCTAAGCAGTACCTTAATGCTCTACTCAATTCCCTGTTCATCTCTCATTCCTAGGGTTAAACTTCTCAATTTTAGTCAGCACTTTAAGATGAGGAGGGCTTTGAATGTCAGGCTGAGGTCTTATGCAAGTGGCACTAAAATAATATTGAAGTATTTTAACATGATGAAAGTGGTCTTTTAGAAGGACTTATCAGGTAATGGAGTGCAGGAAGAATTGGAAGGGACAAAGAGAAAACCAGTTATGAGGCTATTGAAATAATTTTGGTGTACAAATTAATTAGGGCCTAGCCCTAACCTATATTGGTAGCAATGGAATTGAAAAGCAGAGTATTTATATGAAATATATCTTTCTTTTATAAAATAAAGTTTTATTGATATATTTTATATTTCTAATTGTTAGCATTTCTCTCAGTATCTCATCTCATGTTAGCCACTCCTGTCCCTGTTATCCCCTAGAACTAACAATATTTTATAAAGGAAAAAGAGAAAGAAGAAAAAATTCTCAAAAGCCAATTCATATATCAAAAAATTCTGGAAACAAATATAATGTGCCACAGCTGTGGATCTCTCACCTCTCTCACCTACAAAACAGTGGGATGGGGGTGTCATCTCATTTCTTTTCTTTGGAGCCATGGTTTGTTCTTTGTAACTTCAGAACTTTTATTTTTGATTGTTTTGTTATTGTACTTTTTATTTACATTGTATATATTGTTTTTGTTTTGCTTAGCTCAGTCTGTGTCAGATCGTGTAAATCTTTTCATGGTTCTCGGCATTCATCTTCTTTGTCATTTCTTATTGCACAGAAATATTCCTTTACACTAATATACTATCATTCTTTTAGCCATTCTCCAATCACTGGACATCTGTCTACTCCCACCATCCCACTTCTTTGCTACCACAAAAAGTTTTGCTACAAATATTTTGGTATATACAGAAACTTTCATATCAAGGTCAATGATTTCCTTGAGGTATAAGCCTAGTAGTTTATTTTCTGGGTCAAAGGCTATGATAGGACCAACATTTTCCTCATGCAGCTTCCCTGACTTCCCTGATACAGCTGAAAGCTGATTAGTTTCAGCTTTCTGGATTCAGCTTTTAGGCCTAGGGCCATAAATGGTCCCAAGAGAACATAGTTTGGGCCTTTCAGACTTGGTGGGAACCTGAGTCCTCTTGAGTTGTGTTTCCAGATGTAAATAAGGAGGGCCATATCTAGAGAAGCTAAGAACTACTTTATCCTCACTGTATTCTTGCTCTGTTGGGGCAAAGTAAACCTTCTCCTTTGTTAAATGTTTAATGACTTGTGAGTGCCTCATTTCCTCCTATTATCAAACGTGAACTAAGGGTGCTGGAATTATACCTATGCCTATAATAAAAGGTATGGGCATTTTAGTCACTTTACTTGCATAATTCCAAATTGCTTTTCTAAATGGCTTTACTGATTTACAGCTTCACCAACAATGAACCGATGTGCCTATCTTCCATTGACTGTTAACATTTTTGCCAGTTTGCAGGTTGTGGGGTGAAACCTTAGTGTTGGGCTGATTTGCATTTCGCTTATGATTTGGGTCATTCTTTCATGTGATTATTTTGGTTTGCAGTTATTATTAATGATATTTCTAAGGAAGAATTTCCTGGATTTAAAATAATTTTGAGAGACAAATTAATTGTCAAAGATGATTCCATGATCTTGACACTGGTCAATCAGGACAGTGGTGTTTCCTTTGACAAAGATAGGGAAATAACAAGAGAAAGGATAAAGGGATCAGATTTGAGGAGAAAGTGAATACCATTTAGGACATGAATTTGAAAAGTGACAGAGGGGAAATGTCAGAGTGGCAGTTGGAGACACATTATTAGAATTTCGGTCATGACTGGATGTATGGTTTATGGAGTCATCTAGTTATAGATATAAATTCAAACCTTGTTTGAGATCTTTGTCGAAGAGAATGTAGATTAAAAGCAAAGAAAACAGAAAGGGCTGAGATCTCACTTGTAGGAAATAATCAACATTTAGGGTATACTGAGTAGAAGAGGAGGCAACAAAGAAAGAAAACACAGTGTCCTTAGAATCTAAAGAAGCAGAGACTTTTTCAAAATAAAGGGTAGTCAGCTTAAATCCTGCAAAAAGAGGTCAGGGAAGATGAAAACTGAGAAAAGGTTGTTTGGGTTTATAGATTAATGGACACTGATGAACTTTTAGAGGGTAATTTTAGTTTAGTCTTGGGACAAAAGCCAAACAAGGAATATGTGTTAAAGAAATAAAAGATTCAGATATTGACCATTCATTTAGGAAGTTAAGAGATGAAATGGAGAAAAATAGAAAGGAAAAAGAGTTGACAAAAAGGGTGAGTGAAATTTTTTGCAGATGGAAGATCCTTGTGATACAGCCAAAACAGTACTCAGGGAAAGTTTTATATCTCTAAATGCTTACGTCAGTAAAATAGAGAAAGAGAAGATCAATGAATTGGGCAGGCAACTAAAAAAAAACAAAACTAGAGAAAGAACAAATTAAAAATCCCCAATTAAACACCAAATTGGACATCCTGAAAATCAAAGGGGAGATTAGTAAAATTGAAAATAAGAAAATCATTGAATTAATAAATAAAACTAGGAACTGATTTTATGAAAAAAATATAATGTATATAAATCATTGGTTAATTTAATTTAAAAAAATGAGAAAACCAAATTACCAGTATCAAAAACGAAAAGGGTAATAATTAATTCACCACCAGTGAAAAGGAAATTAAAACAATTATTAGGAGCTAAATCTGACAATCTAAGGAAAATGGATGAATATTTACAAAAATATAAATTGCCCAGATTAACAGAAGGGAAATAGAATAATTAAATAATCTCATCTTAGAAAAAGAAATGGAATAAACCATCAGTGAGCTCCATAAGAAAATATCTCCAAGGCCAGATACATTCACAAGTGAATTCTACCAAACATTTAAAGAACAATTAATTCCAATACTATATAAACTATATTCCAATACTATATAAACTATTTGGAAAAGTAGGCGAAGAAGGAGTCCTACCAAATACCACCTGCAATGGTGGTAATACCTCAAGCAGGAAGCTGAAAACAGAGAAAGAAAACTATAGACCAATTTCCCTAATGAATATCAATGCAAAAATTTTAAATAAAATACTGACAAGGAGATTACAGCTATGTATTATAAGATTCACACACTTTGACCAGGTGGGATTTATACCAGGAATGCAGGGCTGTTTCAGTGTTAGGAAAACTGTCAGCATAATTGACCACATCAATAACAAAACTGATGGAAATGATATGATTGGGGGCAGCTAGGTGGCACACTGGATAGAGCCCCGGCCCTGAAGTAGGAGGACCTGAGTTCAAATCTGGCCTCACACCAAACACTTAACACTTACTAGCTGTGTGACCCTGGGCAAGTCACTTAACCCCAGTTGCCTTAAAAAAAAAAAAGAAAGAAATGATATGATTAACTCGATAGATATAGCAAAAGCTTTTGACAAAATACAATACTCATTTCTATTAAAAACACTAGAGAACATAGGATTAAATGGAGCTTTCCTTAAAAAGCAGTAAGTGGTAAAATGTAGTTTTAAAGTAGGAAATGTTAAAAAAAAAAAAGTAGTAAATGATAAAAAACCATCAGCAAATGTTATCTGTAATGGGGATAAGCTAGAAGCCTTCCTAGTAAGACTCGGGGGTGAAGCAAGAATGCATGTTATAAACACTCTTATTCAGTATTGTACTAGAAATGTAATTTATGGCAATAAGAGAAGAAAAAAGCAATTGGGGAATTAGAATAGGCAGTGAGGAAACAAGCTATCCCCTTGCGTACAATGTGATGCTATACTTGGAGAATCCTAGAATATTAACTAAAATGTTTGAATAATGAACAACTTTAGCAAAGTTGCAGGATATAAAATGAACTCACATAAATTATCAGCATTTTTATTGCAAACAATGTCCTGTGGGAAAAGATAGAAAGAGAAATTTCGTTTAAAATAACATAGGCTATATAAAATACTTGAGAGTCTACCTTCTAAGACAAACCCACATAATTACAAAACACTTTTCACACAAAGAAAGTCAAATCTAAACAGTTGGAAAAATATTAAATGCTCATGGGTAGGCTGAGCCAATATAGTAAAAATGACAGTTCTACCTAAATCAGTTGACTGATTCAGTACCATACCAATCAGACTGCCAAAAATTATTTTGTGGAGTTATGAAAAATAATAATCTAGAAGAATAAAAAGGTGAAGAATATCAAGGGAATTAATAAAAGAAATGTGAAGAAAGGTGGTGGCTTAGCCATACCAGATTTGAAACTACATTACGAAATGGTAATCATGAAAACTATCTGGTGCTGGCTAAGAAATAGAATAGTAGATCAGTAGAATAGATTAGGTACACATTACGCAGTAGTAAATGGCCATGGCAATCTAGTATTTGATAAACACAAAAACCCAAGCTTTGGGGACAAGAACTCACTATTTGATAGCTGCTGGGAAAACTGGAAAACAGTATGGCAGAAGCTAGGTAAAGACCAGCATCTTATACTGCCTACCAAGAGAAGGTCAAAAATGGATAAATCATTTAGACATAAAGGGTAATACCATAAACAAGTTAGGGGAGCATGAAATAGTTCAGATCTATGAATAAAGGAAGAATTTATGACCAAAGATGAGATAGAGAGCATTATGAGATATAAAATGGATAATTTTAATTATATTAAGTCAAAAAAGTTTTAGCCCAAACAAAACCAATGCAAAATCAATGCTTAGGTGGAAAGCAAAAATCTGGGAAAAAATTTTTATAGAAAGCTTCTCTGATAAAGGCTTTATTTCTCAAAT